GCGCGCGCGCGCGCGTGTGTGTGTGTGTGTGTAATGGAATATGCAATGTTATCGACAAAATCTAAATAAAATTATATACATGTTTGTACTAGATATCGTAGCAATTAGCCAACTAGTCAATAGCAATAAATAGTTCCATGTCTTTCTATAGCGAGTCGCTTCACTACGTATGTGCAATATGTACATGTTCTCTTTGAAGAAAAATACATGTAGTGTTCTTCGTATCCTGGTCTATAAGGATATTGGACATAGCGAATGTCGTGAAGAATGACTACTGCATTGACAATACATGTATACAATATATACATGTATTTTCATTTATTTAGTAAAATGATAAGGTAAAAATTAATATGAGTAAACGGAATTAGTCATGTCGATAATATAGATTTTTTAAATTGTTGATAATATCGACTTTTTAAATTTTCGATCGTTACCGACATTTCTTTAATTCCGTTTAGATGGCATTAACGGACGGCCGTCGGAGTTCGTTCTTCGCTTTAGGATCCCCTTAAGAGTGTAGTATTTTTAATTGGATGTCAATATGAAATCTATGATAAAACTGTGCCAATTTCATTGTCCTGATTGCCCGAAAAAAAAACATAGTAGTAATTCTGATTTATAGTCGCCAACGGATGAAATACAGGTTAATATTGCATTTAATGCCTTGTAAAATAAGACGCACGTTCCGAGAATGTGTGATGAATGAATGAGCTAAAATGATGATTGTCGTTCAATAAACTTATTAGTGAAAACGGTCGCATATCGGAATCCGAATGTTTCTCGCGCTAATTATATAAATGACGATAAAAATGAGACGGAACACTAATCGCGAACTAGTCGTTGCAGCTTGTGCTTCAATAGATTCGAAAAAATAATTTTATATTATTATATTATTTGCTTGCATGCAAAGTAATTTTAACAAATTTTAACTATATAACATTAAGAGATTCTACAAAAATATAATAGCTTCTATATTCTAAAATTCTATATAATTAATATAATTAATAAAATTATTAATTAAAAAAATTTTTTAAATGAAAAAATAAAAAGAAAATAAAAAATATGTATTATAAATTATTGTATTTTGACTTTCATAATTTTTAGAAGTTTTTTCATAGTTCTTAAAAAAAAGTTAAGTGTTCGAAATATTATTCTATGCTATTATGCATCTTTTAAGTGATTATCTAAATTATTTATTTAAATTAATTATTATATATCTTATTTTAAGATTAGATAGAAATAGATTATGCATAAATAAATTAATATTTATAACAGTTGAATTTACAATGTAATAGAAATACAAGTAATGAGTGCATGTTGGATACAATCCTTGACAAAGTAATGATCTCCATTATGTCATGCCATATTGCTTCTGATAATATACAAAATAATGGTTTATTATAGGTTTTTATGAATTCATTACGATACGATTTAGTGATTTTAAAAACACGTTGAAATATATAAATTTTTTTATTTTGTAGAATTTTTCATAAATTTTTCATAAATTTACAATTATTAAGAATAATGAAGTATATATATTAAATAACTATTATTTAAAATTAATCCTAAATTAGTTTTTAGATGTTAAATTACTATTTGCTACTTAATAATATTAATAATAATAATATTAATATTAATAATATGTAAAAAATACTTTGAACTATCATAAATATTGATTAATATTTCTCTCGATAAATTTTTTGTCCGTTCAGATTGAGATTAATTATATTAGACGAAAGATTAATAATATTAGACGAAAGAAATAAGAATAATTAATAATATTAGACGAAAAAAATAAAAAATTAAACAATTTGTATGCAGATAAAGATTTCTGAAATTTAATATTTCTTAAAAGCAATGATTATTTTAAAAGAAATATTTTTATTCTGTTTTATTCTTAATATTCGCAATAGAGATCTCTGCTTAGAGATCGACGAAATAAAGAAATATCCTTGACAACAAAGCTTATATAGGGTTTGAAAATGAATGACTTATTTTTATCAAATGGTTAAATTCATTTCCTTCTTTCTCTATAAAAAAAGAGAAAAAACTTAAATGAGAGTAAATGTGAAAGGAAGGATATGAAGAAGCAGTAGACTCAAGGAAAGGGAACGATGGAGAGGGACAATGAAAGAGATAGCCGCGGGATAAGACGACGGGAGTACCGCGTGTGCTAAAATGGAGGATGATGATCTCCCCTATCATGTGGAGCTAAATAGATAATACGCTGGTTGCAACGGATCTAGTTGCCCTCAGTCTTGCGATGCAGGTGAATCAGGACTAGAATTCATACTTTCTCCGTTCTTTAGTCCACTTTTCCATCCTTGGAAGATAGAGAGTAGAGAGATTTCACGATGAAGCGGCGGATCCTAGAGCTAATCACAAGACTCACTTCTCGTGATTTAATTACTGCTGCTTTTGCCGGATCTAGTAAACGCCAAGAAGAATCGGCTGAGGAAACAACAATCCAAATTAGAGCACGAGGCTTAGCAGCCTAACGAATATGATTATGATTATGACTATGATGGATATGACGAAAAAAATGGTAAGTATTTCGTTTAGTATAACAATATTAGATTATTTAATAAAGAAAAAAAGGGACAGACTTTTAATTTAAGAATTTTTAATTTAAATTCTTATTTTTTACTAATTTCTTTTTTATTTTTAAGAACAAGCAATATATTAGGTAATATAATTAAGAATATTTTTTTCTTGATAATCATGGTATCATTATATAAAAGAGAATACCAATAAGCTTTAATTCCTATTTATAAAAATCGAATTGCACACTAGTCATGTAATATTTATAGATTTTTTATTCAAAAACAAAAGATCATTTTAATTTTAAATTAAAGTAAAATTAGTAAAGTTAAATTCTAAAGTAAGAATTAGAATTGTTTCAGATAAAAAAATTTTTTTAAATAGAATTGAGAATTTTTTTAAATAGAATTTTAAATAGAAGAGATTACAGAATTTTTTTATTAATCTATTAAGCTATTTTGTAAATTTTGTATGATTTTTTTATTATCTTGTTTAAAAATCTGCAAAATTATTTTTCTTAATTATCATAGTAGCAATGTAAATTTACCTATAAATAAATAAGAATATATTTATAAATGTGTAGATATGTGTAAAAATGATAAATGTGTAGAATTGTTCAACAATTCTCTCAAGAAACGCCGGAAATCTTATACCAGAAATTAATCTCGTTAAGACGCCGTATAAAATAATTAATCTCTTATTTTAATCAGAGTAATCTAATTAATATCATTTAATTCAATTTATTAATTATGAATGTATTTTAATACAAATTCATAATTACATATAGAGATAGTTTTTTGGTTTAGCTTTTTCTTTCTTATAGATATTAAAGATGCTATAATATCTATTTCGACTTTGCGAACTTGTATTAAATTTGTATAAATTCTCGTTTACATTATTAATTAGATTTCTTTGTCAATAATAATTTTTAAGTCCTTTTAGGTTTATTAATAATAAGAGTATTATTTGTTTAGAAACTACGACGACATTGTCACCACCTGTGGCATCCACTAGTATTACATGACTTTCGGGTAAGCGGAAGTTTTACATTATTTTAATATAAAAAAATTATTATAAATAAAATATTTTGATTAGTTGTTATAGCAAAATTATTATAATTAATAGCTTATTGAATGTAGAATGGCCCAAAAGACCAGGAGAAAGCTTCAATGCGTAAATCAAAAACACTTACAGATTCATCAGTTACTACACAACTCGATTTTATGACCATGATAAATAGAATTATTTTAAAACATTCTTTTATAATAAAAAACAAAACAAAAGCGAAAGAAGTTAAAAAAATGATTAGAATAAAGTATTTTTGTTTTCCATCTTGAAATTTGAATTTTAATTGTATATATTCTACAGATTTAGGGATAACTACTCCTATTTCTGAACGAAATTATTTAGTAAGTATTCGATAATAAAAACAAATTACAGAAATTCTGTAAAATGTATAGCGTTTGTTAATTCTTTTTCTTCTCTTTCACCTACTTCTGAAATATTATCGGGTGAGAGTAATGTATATACTTCTGTGACAGTGCAAGGTGGGTGAGTAATTGTTTGTAAAATTAATTATAATTAACATTTTTTAAAAAATTTTTGTTTATAAATTTACAAAAGAATAATATTTACAAATAAGGATGAATCTGGTCGACTTGGAGACTTTGATCGTTTTCCGGCGCCGCGGGATATCCTGGAAAGCCCGGAAGTATTCCTGGAGTCCCAGGACCACCTGGACCTCCAGGACCTGCACTAAATGTAAGAAATTTTCTTTATAATAATTTTCATTTTTTATATCATTTCTTTATATTATTTAAATAATGATATATGTTATTTATAGGTTTCTATTAAATAATTTAATTAAGGTCCTTGAGTAGTCACCGCGGCCATATTGGAATCGTGACGTCATAAGCGAGAAATGACACAATAAAGTTTATGACGACAGTTTGCAAATAAAAAAATATTTGATTAAAATAATCATCTGATATGGCTTTAAGATACTTGTGAAAATGAACGGCTGCTATCCTTTCTCTTTCTCTTCTCTTGATAGTCAATAAATAGCTGTAAAAGACACGTGAAACGAAGCTTGTTCAAGCAGAAAACACGATTTGACAACTGTTGAAAGAAATGGAAAAAATATTTTCACATATAATGTCCGACGATAATTTTAGCTGCCGCCCATTTTTACGAATCTGGTAAGTACGAAACAAGTCACATCTGCATGATTAAGCATACAATAACGAAAATAGCTGTTATAAAAAATTTCATTGTCCGCATGTCACTTGTAAAGATGAACAAGGACAAGGATAAGATGAACAAGAATGTATGAGCTTCTATTTTTCACTGCGATGGTACGTCACTACCGTCAACGCGGAATTTTTCGCTGAGTACTCAGAAGCCTTAAGAACTGTAAATCCTTCTTTCTTTACACAGTGTTGAAAATTATAAGACGTTTACAAGAACATAAAAACTTTATTGTGGTTCATAATATCAGGTATAGCATAATATTACACTTACGGAGGATTGAATATTTGAATGCCTATACTAGCGAAATGCAAGATCATAATTGCAACAATATAACATATATTTTCTCCCTTTTGACATAACACTCTCGATGGCATTCTTTGTTTTCATTTGACCGAGATGATAATTTTATATGATCTAGTCTAGTCTAGTCAATCGCAATAATTAATTTTCATGATAATCAATCAAAAAGTACAAGAAAATGGTAATTGGACGGACTATACACTCTTGCATTATGAGGCTAATGGACATATCTAGCGAGTCGATTTAAAATTATAACATAATTTGGCTCGCTAAAATGCTACATGCATATATTTACAAAATGAACGATGACTAATCACAATGAACGAGAATACACAAGTATATTACATATAAATGCTGTTCGCGCAATTTTTGCAGAAAACGCGATCCATGCGAACTAACTTCAAGTTTAAGTTGTTATTAAATTATCTTGAACTTAAAAAATTAGGTTTAAGTTTCTAGTCGGGAGAGCTAAGATTTATGTGTTTTCTAATTCTCTGCTTCAGTCATTTCTTTATCGCGTAATCTCCAGAAAAATCTAGTAAGAATTAGACCAATACACTTCTTCATTCTTGTACTACTTTATTAGCAACAACAATATAATTTTCATTTACTTAATTATTAAGAAGGACAAAGGCCTGTATATTTACATGACTTATTTGGAATCGCAATTAAATCTGTTTCTGAATAATCTTATCCAGCAAGAAAATATTGCATCCATTGTAAGATTAAATGGGATTAAAAATCGTATACTTGGCTTTGATGTTAAGAAAAATGCAAGACCGAAATCCAAGATATTCAGAAGTGCATCAGATTACATTAAATGCAAAACATTCTTTTCTTTAAACGCTCTATGAAAAAAATATACATATATATGTATTGTATATTAAGAAATAAATACGATAAAAGAACACAAACAATATTTCGGGGTAGCAATAGGGGCAGGCAATCGTTCAGGCACAGGAATAAAAAATCCTAATCTCGAGGAGGTTCAAATAGTTGGAGACTGAGTCAATCGCTTCGACATCAATTAACGTCGAATCTGGTTAACGTAGAGAGTTTTTTCTCTCCGTCTATATTACAGATAGAAATTACAGTCTGGAGAAAGGCAGCGAATCGCTAATCGGAATCGGCAAACCCGAAATTTCGGTTTCGCACATGCGTGCAACGACCGATCAATGCATCAATTTATATCACAGAAACGGAATTTTCCATTTCGCTCGCAGTCTTCTTTTCATTACCGTCATCGTCATTGTTGTGATCGTCATCGTCGCGGCGATGACTGTCATCGATTTGTTCGCCGGGGACTAGAGACGTGTCTTTCGATAGGATCAAGGAATCCTCGCCAATAGGCGCGGCGGCCTCGACTAGATTCTCGACGGATGCCGCCGTCGTTGGTTCCTCGTGGCAGAAGCTTCTACGTAGAGATTGCTGCGTTCTCGCGGTACCTCTGCGTATGCTGCTGCGCAACAAATTCGCTACATCGGCGGCCGTCAGGTTCGAGCCGGACAAAGTATGCGCGGTGATATTCGCATGCGGACGACAGCCACGATCAAGCGTCGAGTGGGTGCGTTCAATTGCGCGCGATCTTCCCGCGATGCCAATCCTGGTGGCACGGTCAATAGTATTTGGCCGATGACGCCGTTCGCTCGACGCATCCACGCTATGCCGATTACCACCAATGTTCGTTACGTCTGGCCGCGGTTCTGACGGTATCTGGATCGTGATATGATCGTGTGACATTGGCGTTCCACTCAGATTCATCTCTACGAGAACAGTTGCATAATCCGGCGGTGGCGGCTGCAACGTTGATCTCTGTTGCGGTGCGCTACTCTCCCCCAGCACGTTCGCAATCCTTCGCACGCTTCGCCGAAAGCTCTGCCGCAACATCTTCGCAATCCGTGCACCAGTCGCCGTAGTATAACTCGGTGGAGGAGTATATTTCGGTGGTGGATCCTCGAAAGGTATCTCCGTGGTCGCGCTGGCTAAGATTCCGTTCCCATGCAAACTGGTATTAGTGTCGTTTCCGATCTGGGTCTGCGCATCACGAGGATCCTCCGGCTCCATCGGTGGCCGATAAAGCAACTGAATTCTCTGTGAAAATACAACGATTTGTTTCGTTGAAAATAAATATAATACCTTGACACATTTGTCAATATGTGATTTTACGTGTAATTATTTGTACGACGACTTAGAAAACGCATTATCGCAGAACAATTGCTGCAACAATTGCTACACATACAATGTACAATGGTAACGCAAGAAAGAATTAATGAAAACTTACGCCGTTACATTGTTCGCAATGATTTACTGTTACTTCCACCTGTTCACTCTATTGTCAGCAGAAAAGATAGCGTGAAAGATATGTTAGTCATTAATAGTGTATTAGTAGATACAAATGGTATAGAATGAATATTTGCATCTATGTAGAATTACAATTATATAAGAAAAATGTTTCACAATGTTGTTGTGCTTCACTATTATTTTTGGATAGTAATCCTCTACAATCTTTGAATATATTATATATAGGTTTATCTGGTTTTTTTTTGTTTTTCCGGCGAGGATAATGAAATACTTGAAATTTCCTCGGCAAGCAAAAATACTTACGTCACATATATCGGGTGGTCCACTATTTAAATATCGACATGTTTGTATAATTGCTACTGCTGGTATCGTAAGTATCGGTATCAACTGAATCGCCGCCCCGAGTTGCCTTGCCCATACAGCCCAGTAATCTCTGCTTGTGCGACGATAAGAGTACAGTTCTCGAAAGTCGCTGTTCTTGAATATTACAATACTGAGAACCTATGGAGCATACAATAACTATGATGTATGCCGTGCGTAACTATGATACGATTACCTTCGTTGCGTATAATATAACAATTTACCGTCAAAATAGTAGGGAGAACAACGTTCCACGTGAAGGATAGTAGTGGACCGATCCAGTACCTGAGGCATCGCTCGGTCGGTGGAAATAATTCCGCAACGACCGCCTCACCAGTGTGTGGACGTCCACGGACCGCGAACACAGCACCAATTTGTATTATATACAAAACAATTATCCACCATGATCCACCGACGATATAATCGAGATAATACACGACGTAAATACCTAACTGTGGACACATAATAATGCATAATGAGAATAAAACTTGATTGTATTTTCATTCAAATTATTATGAGAATATATTTAAAATAAAGTATTATTTTTTAGTTTAATTGTAATTAGATAATAATTTTTATATCTTTGAATAATAACAAATATAACAAAACATAATTACATATAGCAAATATAATTTATTATAATAATAAATTATATTTCCATTGAAATAATTACCACTTATTATCATCATCCGTTTTGTCTCATTACTATAAAGTATTGTATTTAAAAGTATTGTATTAGAAGCATTATTAAACTAAGGACATTGTCGAAGCACTTGTCTTTATATCTTTCACTTGTATGTCCAAAAATATAGCGTTATTCTTAGTATAACCGGGGTATCTACTTAATATGGTATGGGGAATAAACATGTACAATCCAGATTCCTTATCAGGATCTGAATCATCCTTATCTCGACCTACGGTCTTCACGATTTTTCTAACATCGTTGGCGGGATTATCTTGGTCTCGTAGAATCACGACGGCTCTGAGCACACAAGGCCAATCTAGCAAGGGATCCCATTTTCCATTTTCCACGCACAAGCATCCGATAACGTGGCGATCCTTCCATTGTCCTTTGCCATTCAGAAATAATTTCATTCTCAAGGTGTAACCGTATTCCTTATTATAAAAGATCGGACTGTAAAGCATGCAATCGCTCCCCTTCGCTTTGTTCATCTCTTCCTTGTAACGATCGATTCGCCATATAATACGACCATTCGTCGAGGCGATCTCTGCATTTTCGCAAATACACGAACTTAATGATAGTTCCGGTTTAGAATTCTCCATGATTAATTCTTCGATATATTTCAGATTCTCCTTCATCTGAAATTTTAGACCTTTTATATCCAATTTTCGTTTGAACATGCTTTCAGATTGATTATGAATTTCCTCTGACAAATCGTCCATCCTCTTTGACAAAATATCATGCTTAGACATTAGTTCCTTCGTATTCTTACATCTCGTTTCCAGTTCTAATTTTAAATTGTTAATGCGTTTTAAGTATTCCTGCCACATATCACTTGCGCGTACGCTCTCCTTAGCAACGAACGTTTTTAAATCTTGTAATTCTTTAAACCAATCATCTGGTGCGCACATCTGCTTGTTTTGCTCGTCGATCAAATCTCCCTCCAATAACTTCAATTGTTCAGATATTCGTCGTAAATTCAAGTTAGTGCAGTGTTGCATATCGTCAGTGATCATTTCCAAATCGTTCAATCTCCGATTCAGCGTTGCATGGTTATTGCGAGATTCCTCAACCGCTTCCTCAATATTTATTTGCAACGCGACAAGAGATTCCTGCTGAGAATGCAATAAATTCAAGTTTCTAGACAAATCATCCTGTAAGCGAATTCGCTCTTTTTCTCCTTGATTGATAGCCAAACGCAATAATGTTAATATCGAGAATACTTTTTCTTTCCATACCGAATCTTGAATGTCCTTTAATTGAGTATTTCTCGACATTTTCTTGCTGCACGATTTCTCATGTGTCTCTAAGTTTCTGCGAGGAATGTAAACCCCGCATTTATTGGGACACTCTTCCAAAACCGCCGCGCAATGCGTTATATGTTCCGTTAAATATTTTTCCTCCAAAAATTCATTGCAAAAATAGCAAGGTACACTACGACGCACTATTACGTGAACGTTATTACTCATCTCCCGTTTTAACACGGACGCGTTCGCGATACTGTATATGTCGGCGTGAACTGAAATGAAGCGCTGATAACAATTCTCTAAAGTGAAAGATTGTATGCTCTATCTGATAAGAAAAGCTGGGGCTCGATGATAGAGATAATACTACATACGCGATATAATAATTGCCCAGAAATTATATAGGTGCGTATCACGCGCATATCATGTTAACATACTGCGTAAATTAAAATAGTATCTCTGTATAATATAGTTATAATATAAATATATTTACGTGCTCGAGTACATTCGTAATTTCCATTAAATAACATCTTTAGATGATAAATTTATCAAAGATTTTTATCATCTATGATTTGGCAAATAAAGAGTTTCAGCATACCTCTGTAGCCATAGGTAATCCAAGTATATAGGCACAAGCGCAGCTAAAAAAAGTGATAGTAGTTTCCCAGAGCTTCATCATTTTCGTATTAATCGCCATTATACCCGTTATTACGCAATGCCAGATCGCCAACTAAAATATTGATAAAACTTTTAAATACTCTTATTAATACATATTCACTAAAATGATGACTATATTTAATCATATAAAATTCCATGAATATATATTCATAGAATCTATGAATATATATTTCAATTATTTTCATAGTTTTCATTCATTGACTGCTAAGAAGAAATATACGTACTTGTTGTGCAATCCCAAATAAGATCAAAATGAAATAAAACAGGACTGCCCAGAACGGTGACGCCTGTTCGGTACCTAACAATGCGAATGTCGCAGGTACTAATTCAGTGGCTAACCGTAACACCTGATATCCGGATTCGGTACTTGTGTCCGTGCCAGGTTGTATTATGCGCTGACCAACAAGAAACGATGCGTGAGACATGAATCTCTCCGGCGTGCTACTGTATCCTGACGGTGCTGGTTGATTGGCAACCCTCATAAATGTATACCCTGATATTCTTTCTGCATCGAGAATGATAATATATGCGAATAAGTGCCAATTTCTATTATTCAAGGTAATACAAAATAACTGTGTTTACCGAAAGAACTAGTAGTATAGATGTAGCCTTGATGCCTGAGGATTTGTATACAGGTATTCGCTAAGAAAACACTAAGAGAGAGAATCAGAAATGTCAAAAATATCACCATACTTGTATCTCGCTGCAGACGTTTGTGCTTATTATGAGCCGCTATCTAAAATTGACAATATTTCAATGAGTCGCTATTGATTGTTGCGTTTGAGAGTTATAATCAAAAAATAGGAGAATAATTATTATGCTTTCTAAACAATCATGCAATTGTAGATAATAATTTACCTGCATAGCAGCCGCACCGAGTAAACCCCATGTGAAGAAGACTTCATTTGAAGCAGCCAACCATGACTTCTCATTGATAAAGAATTCGTTCCAGATGATGGCGGGGAAAATTTGTATCGGGCTTGGAGCAAGTCCTACTAGTTTCGCACAAAGGACTAGCATGCCAAATACAGGTACTAATGTAAAAACGTATATGACCTTTCCATAAGATCTCAGTCCTAAATTAAAATAGAAACGAATAAAATTAAATTCTTTGTAAACTAAAGTTAGACATTAAACCAAAATGTCATGCAAAATACAATGACTAAACTTTCTTTTTTAATACATTATACACTTGAATATAAACGCGCATTGATATATTCTAACATTTTCTAAAAATTACTCAATTAAATCTTTCAATTTCTTCTTTTTTTTTTTTATAAAAATCGGTATTAAGAAAAAGCTGTCACAAAAGGTCAATAAGAGAAGTTAGTTTTTCATAAATCTTTGTGAAATTCGTGTCTTTCTTCTTAAAAAAAAATAAATAAAAAATAAATAAATAAATAAATAAATAAATACCTTTACTCAATGAAACAAATATAATCATCCACACAACGGCTAAATTGAAGGCCACTTGGAACTTTAATGTGACGACACCAGGATTGGCCTCGTTCAAGTGATGTCTTTGCAATACAGCACCGCTGAAGTAATCCGGAACAGTCTCATATAATTTGTATAAAACGGTAGTATTGTGTGTGGGACGGCTGTCATCTCGATAGAGAAGAAACGGCTCTGCCCATCGATACCTATCCTGCTTCGTTATGAACGAATCTCTGTAATCAATGTACCACGCATTTTGTCTTACTTGATCAATATAGCATGTCATTATTTCAATATTGTATGCAAGTGATGGAAAAACGATGAAAACTTGAAAAAGGTATTGATCATCGTGTCGAGATTGCAAACATAATATGTGTACATATTAATTTGATGTTATTTCTAGAACTTGAGATTTTTCCATTATTTCTTCTTGATCTATTAAATTATTTGCAAATCCAAATGCAATTTTGAAAGTCATCAAAGGACCTATTATGGAACTATTCGGAATGGATTCTAATCAGAATCCTATTCCCTTGAAAATACAATATAAATCTAGAAATAACTGAATAATTCTAATCAAAATCCATTACGAAGAAGAAATTTATATATCTCTTAAATTTAGGATAATTTCGAAGAAATTTCGACTATTTTAATCAGCAATTAACTTGTTAAAAATAATAATAGCAATATTTTATCAACACGGACAAAATTATTAATTTTTATGTCAAATGTAAAAAGAAAGATTAGATCGAGGACAATAAATTATAAGAAATTTTACTATAAACAATTCTATCGATTGGATTAATCAAGTTAATTCTACTTTAATCAAAATAATTTTTAAAGATCCAAATTTAATCAGTCATTATCTTATCATTTAATATCTGTATTATTTGGTTAATAGAATTATTAATTTTTATCAATTATCAATTTATGATTATCAATTAAATTGAGACTAATTATACAATTATGGATGTAATTCTATCGATTTAGTTAATCATTAATTAAATTAATTCAAATTACGTTTCCATTTCTATCAATGTCTATTAATTTTAATCTTAGTTTACTCTTTATATTCTTTATCATTTTCTAATTCTTAAAATTAAAAAAATAAAAAGTTAGACTGAGATTAATTTAATCTTGATAAAAATGAATGTTAGTTTCACGTCTAATCACCATCGCTTTTTCTAAATTGTTTGAATCCGATTCACTCTAGTTTATTTGATTGCAGCTATATGTAATTTACTTGAGCCATAATATATTGCGAGATATAATCGCATTAGGAATTTACCTGAAATACACAAACATCCATGATACACCGACTATGCTGTAGATACCGATAAAAGCCTGCGCGATAAGCAGAGCTATTCCGACACCTTGAAATAACGGTGATATTTTCCACATATCCACGGAACCAGCCGCCAGTCTTTGTCCGAGACATACTTGCAGTGTCAATAATGGAATGCCCAAAACGAGAGACAAGAATGCGAATTGTAAAATGAAATTTCCTGTAACAAAATAAATAAAGTATAAAACATAAAGAAGTTTTTACAACAGGTAAATGAAAAGTGAGTCTATGTAAGGAATAAAGCGTTCACGATCACTGCGATTATGAGTAACCATCCATTTCTTCATTGGAGATCATTACTTTCGCAAATAGCTGCGGAACTAATTATTGATATTACAGAAGGTACGTCATGGTATGAATTATCAACCACGTGGTAATTTCGTCGGTTTGTTGTCCGTTCTATGAGGCTTTACACCGCGTTTGCGCCGCACACATTATACAGGAGGAATCTATAATTTCGCTGAGAGTTGTATATACGATTCTGATAAGTTCGGGGTAACTACCGAGAGTTTGATACTTGTACGCGCATAAATATCGCCAATCATGTACAACATATAAAGACCGCGTTTTTGACGTATTGGAACACATTGAAATTCGAAATTCGTCGAAATAAAATAACCGGTTTCGACCTCTCTGAATTCTCTCGTTCCGCGAAAATTACGCGCGTCAAAAGTGTCCCTTGTTTCTTGCATCGCGAAAAATTCGGTGGAACTTCTCAACGAAACCCTCGTGACGCGTTTGCAGTATTTTTGTAGCTGATGCATGTGTTATTGTAACTCACCTCCAAACTGCATGCTAAGAATGGAAACTCTGCTGATGTTAAAAAGTCCCAAAGTGCAGCCGAGACACGCGAGACTTGAACTGAAGTTGTGAGGCCATTTTCCTAGAGGATTTTCATCTTCGTCGTCATCTTCGCCTCTGTCATTATGTGTGTCGGCATCTCTCTGTCTCTCGCATGTTCTGGAATCGATGAAGATATATGATTATTAAGGATAATTAATAATAAATCTCACTGACAAATACCTTTAACATTAGTGTATATTAATAGTGCTATCATATATTATTAATTCTTGTTTGTATTTGTATTTATTTATATTTTTTAATTATTAATAATTTTATAAATTATTTATATTATTAACAATATACATACTATAAATATTAAAATTATACCCGCAATTCGATTGTTATTTGACAAAAATAAAGATTGGAGCACAAATGTAACGTAAGGAGATGTAATAGAAGTGTGAATGAAGCTTTTGAGAAATGTAAATTAGAATAAATCAAAATAAATCAAAATAAATGTTTTAGAAATAAATACATTCTTTCTTTATAATATTTTAATTTACACTTGTTAGAAATTTTTGTTCATGCTTCAGTCACTCTCTCCTTATGCTCCGATTTTTATTTTCGCCAGGATACTCGTGTTGTTACATTGTATAACATACAGAAAAAATTAAATTCGGTTTTTTAAAAAAAATAGATTCTTACATATAGAATTATAAACAATCATAATAATCATAATAATCATAACAATCATAATAATATAATAAAATAAAAGATAATAATCATAATATAATATAATAAAAGAATTAGAAAATTAGAGAACAGTCTCATCTTATTGATAATTCGTCTTAAAGTCTGACGTCTGTTTAACGATTGACTGCTCGTATTCTAAGAATAGGCTTCGTAATTTTTCATTCTTGAATTAAAGATTGAATTTAAAGATTGCTTCAGCAGGGGAATAATATTATTAATAAACCATAATAATTAATAAAATAAACCTGAATCGATATCTATATCCGATAAACGGAGGACTCACAGTTTAATATATACACAAGGTATTTTCAAGTTATTTTAAGCGTCTCTGCAATTTATTTTAATGCAATATATTTTAATAAAAAAAGGGAGTATATGAAGAGGCAAATTAATCTCTGATCGACGAAGCAAATCTCATTTGTACATCTTAAAATTAGTATTAGCGATAAACATAGCGATTGTGCGACGTCATATCGTGTACATCTCGACTTCTGATCGCTTCGAGCTGTTCCAAGATCACGTCAGTTCGCGGTAAAACTAGGTCGAGCGCAATTTTATCGCACGTCGTCGTCTTAATACGGAAAAGATGTCTTATCGCGTTTCACCGTAAGCTTGTTGTGATTTTACAGCGAGACGGATAAACTCGGTGAAACTTTCATCCCATGCAGATATCATCGCGATCCACGCTAAAATTATTAAAGCAGAAGCGAGAAATTTTTGTATCCCGATCTAATTGCCATAACGGAGTAATCATACGAATGGTGAGGGTTCTCCTCATAAATCCAATGAGGCGATCATCGACGATACACGAAGAGAATCAACAATAAATTACGAGCCGCGGGCTCCATCGTGTACTTAACGTAATTATCCCAACGAGGTTTAAATCACGCACGATGGCGGACACATCCGGTATATCGCGCGGTAATGCCGATAACAGATCGGCCGTTAGATCGGTACCGTTATCGCAGGATGCAGAGGCAAAATAGGAGAGATGAAGCGTCACGATCGTTGCGCGTCAAAGCGAAGAAGTTTCTTCGCTCGAGTAGTTTCACTAAATTTGTCGTTGCGTTATCACGCGGCTTCAAACAAACTCGTATGCATTATTTATTAAACAAACATACCGTAGAGCAAAACTTTCTGTGCGTCACATTAACGTTTGTTTCTCCTTTTCTATATGAGAAGAAATGTTTACGGAATCATGCTTGAATAAAGAATACTATAAAACAGCGCTCGGAATTAGTTGAACATTTCGGGGGCACAGCCGTACGGCAGCTCGGCCGCTGTGACTCGAGCGGTGGTGGGGGAAGCGTCGCCTTCGAAATCGGACTGAAATGTTCAACTAATTCCGAGCGCTGCTATAAAATATTGCGTGATTTCTATTTCTAAGATTACGAGCTATGTATATAAAAACTCTCATCGAAATATTAAACCAGTACAGCTATGTCGGATTTTAAAGATAAAGGATCATTATTTTTAATATATATATCGGGGGCTCGGGGGCTCGAGCCATGCTTGATGCAATCTCTCCTGTCGTGCTCCAGAAGGATTATTTGTATATTTGCCAATGGCGTTGGAGGGTGTCGCCGCTGCAGTCCGACCTGCATCCATCGAGAGAATAGGACCATCATCTCTCTGGAGTACCGGTCGTGGGGATTCGAAAGAATACATGTATAT